TTTCTCTGAACTGTACTGGCAAACAGCGGCAAAACTGCACATAATGGCATCCTTTCCCTATGGTTTCTGTACATGTCAAATGTGAAGCACACCTTTTGTGAATGAAATGGTGCATGCAAGTTATAAATGTGCCTCATCATTCAGGATTGCAGACCACAAATGTTCACAGTCCTTCAACAGTTTTTAAACAAACCCATGATGCTTTCATAACATTTACCGGTACATGTGTGCTCTAGGCACCATTAAACAAACGAAAATAAGATGAATGATCACTTTCAGGCCGAGAGAAGGTGGCTTCGTGACAAGAATGAAAATACCGGTACATGTACCTCGACAGCAGAAACATGCATCATAGACTGGTGGTGTACCGTTACGTCTGATGGTAAATGAGGTAGAATTATCCCAAATGGGGAGGGGAAACAGATGGGGGGAGAGGGACAGACGATGGGAAGCAGCAGAGTGGAAGAAGAATTTGATTGGCTGAGTACTCTGAAGCATTGGACATCTGTTTGCTCATCACCCATCTGAGAGGACATCGTGGAGATTGGATTACGCCTTGAAATTCAGCCCGTCTCTCTGGATGAGCTTGGTCACCGGAGCGGAAGAGATTTTAATTGGGCGGCTGATGACTGGGTTTAAATTGGGCGCCAGCGTGAAATGGGGAATCCTGTAATAACTGGACACAACTAAAAAAACATGAACATTCCGAGAAACTCCCCGGGGACCGAGCAAAGCATTTTTACTTTGCTTTATCCACTGGCGTTAAATTTTGTGCAATCACGACGATGTAAACTTTTACCAGCAAAGCTGAAGTTCAAATGAATAACATCGTTACTTCTTTAATTCTCTGTTTGAAATTGTATACTCCTCTGTTCTCTTAGCGTCAAGAATAAAGGCCTAAAAGGAATTTCATTAGTTTGCTTTGATCCCTTTTTGTTTGGTTTTATTTAATTTTAATGTTTTATGGAATATTTGTCAAAAATTATTCACAGGAGAAAATAATGCAACCATCATGCCGTTTTAGAAAATGAGTCAGAGACATGACCTTGGTGCGCCATTATACATCAGCTGAATTCCTCAAGAAAAGGAGGAACCTGGTTCAAAACATTTTATCTGCCTCGAACAGAAGCACCCCTTCACTGTTTGAAAACAGCTGTGTCAGTTGGAAGTGTTCATTTTGTCGGTACCTGGTACACGCACTGATGCGACTGTGACGCGTGTATTTCCTAGTTATTTGTGAACTACATGTGGCTAAGTCCAGTTCTGACCAAAGGAGTCTCCATTGCTAAGAAAATAGTGACCTCTACTGGTTGAGCTCGAGGCCCATAGAGGGAAATGAAAATCAGTGGTGGCACATGAGATCTTCTCTGCCCACTACCAGTACATGCTGTAAACATATACTCTCAATCTGTGTGTAAAGTAGTCACTGGCAGCACTCTTTTGGGTGTGGGGGGGGGACACTTTTTGCCGGTCCTATAATGAGGGACGTAATGGATTGGCATATTTATGGCTGTTGCCTGATGGTCTTACAATTACCCACCCCTTTGAAATTGTTCCCCGTTGCGGTTAAAAGCAGTATACAGGTTTGGTTTGATCCCAAATCTGGTATGCCTGTAATTAAAGGTTTGTTGAATGTAATACTAAGGTACATGTACAATGTGTGAGCAATAGATGCCATGCACTGTTTGGCATTTTTTCAGTTTCACTGGCAGAGCCTTATTGGATTCCTTCAAAGGTACCATGGAAGATAGTGCCAGATTAAACGTGAAACTATGCTACATATACATGGACGTGTTCACTTTTAAAAGTATCTCATGAGACCTTAAAAGCTACTTAAGTCACAATGGAATAACGAGAAAGCCTATTAAACAAATCACTGTCAAGGTCATAAACACAAGTTGGATCATTCACCATCCTTCACATTTCAATCACAGCATTTTGTTCAAAGTAATCTGGTCTGGAGACAGGGTGCCTTGCATCCATCAGTGCATGCAGGTTCATAAAGCTTTAGGCCTATTCTTGGTTCAATAAGGACTTCACAAAGGGCAGGACAACTTTTGTGCGTCTACACTGGTACCGTGCACGTAAACAATGGTCCTCGGAGCTGATGAAAACCTTGCACTACTCTAATTCGAGAATGTCACCCTTCTAGTGTACCTCAGTACATCAGTTCATGTACATGTAAGCTTATCCATGTTACCATGAATGAAAACATGGTTATACTGTAGATCAAATTTACAATATCTTTTACATGATCTCAAAATTACCGATATTGTCATAACCAATTTAAAATTACCTTACAGTCATACACTGTACATGTATGTACATACGCATACATCTTTTCACTAGTAGTTTCAGAAGAAATTCATAATTTTCTGTGCTAGAATATTCTCTGAGATGACACTATAATCCTTAAAGCAGAGCGTCACGTGGAAAGGAAGACAAGGAAGGAAACTGCAATTATAACTTAAGGACGGCAAACCTCAAAAGACTTATTTACAAAATCCCCTCCCACTCGTTTTTCTCCAACTACATGCAAATACCCAGTTTGACAGATGGCAAAATACACATATACAATGTACATCGCAAGTTGTATAGGAGGATGATAAAATGAATCCGTCTCAAAAGCAAACAGCTGGTAAAGCTGAACATGTGAATAAGAACACACTGCTCTCTCTCTCTGCCACTTGGTCTCATCATCTTGCATCATTCCCTCCCCCCCCACGGTCTCCTCAGCCATCCACCCACTTCCTCAAGTGACCATGTAACCCGTTGTGGGTTCTGACTCAGCCAGTGTCTGATACCCCAGGGACTGAAGTGCAAAAACAAAGCAGGAACTACAAGGCTTCGATATGATAAAGAGTCTAAGGTACTTGTACATTGTACACATGTAGAAATACATGTACATGTACAATGCGCTCAATCATGTACATGTACTGCACAGGTTTGCATTAACCATATCAGTACATGCAAGAGCTGACAACCTTTAATTCAGCTTTTCAGCATTCTGAAGGCCAAAATCAGTATTCTCCTGAAGAAATCAGTAATTTTCTGCACAACGCTGTCAGAATGTGCTATTTTACTCCTCACCAGAACTCTTCGGAGATGACAATGCTGAAGCTTTTTTTACAATCAGCTGTATTACAGAATCCAACGGCCAAGGAACCGGTACTAGTACAAACGGCCGGTACACACCACACAGTGCTAGTGAATTACCACGTTCACCCTGTACACATTAGGCTGGGCTGCAGTGCACAGTACATTGCCAGATAACTGTAGACATCAGGGCATCAGACTATCCTTACAAGTAGCTTTGTGATAACGGTAGATGGCCCACGAAAATTTGAGTCTGTGAAATCCTGATTCCTTATGATTACAGTGCATGTGATCAGTTTCAGTCGGGATCAAATCACATACCGGTAGTGCCCACTGGCCGGTATGCCATATCGGTAGCAAGCCTTTCAATATTGTGTATAATAATATGCCATGATTGGATTTTCCCAAATCCATATTTTCAAACGCAAATCCGCCTTTCCATATTCCTGTTTGATTTCCGAAAGAAATATGGAAAATCTGCACTAGTTGGCAGGAACAGAGCCTAGCAGGTATTGGTCACTCTAGTTTGGAATTTCTTTCCCTGTTTCACATTTCCATAAGTTTACCCAAAGTGTGCATACAATGTACACATGTACATGCATATTTGACAAAGAATAATAAACGTCGCTACCAGCAACACGACACCGCGAGTCATCGATTATCTCTTTACTGTAAAGAAAAATTCCTTGCAGTTATGTACTGTACATGCATTATATTCCCAAAAGAATGTAACACTGCTATTATCAACTGCTGTAGGTCTTCTGAAAAGCGGAGACACTTTTTAAATTGTGGAAAGCTTTGCTAAGGGATTTGCAGATAAGAGGAATTGTATGAAAGAGTACTAAATTAACATGTGACTTCGGTTTTTCAAAATATCTATCACATACATGTACATGTATGTATTTCATCACATTAGCATCGTTTCCAGAGAAACAAGTTTCAAATGGAAACCCCTTCCCCGGTGGTTGCCATGACAAATCTGATTCATCATCATCATCCCCTTCCTTTCTCCCCACTCCATCTTCCAATTTCCTGAGCAGCATTATTACTCCGGTAAAAGAAACTATTTAAATGGCATTTACCGACAGAAAAACGTAACCCTTGCAGGTTGAGCAACGCAGTGGTCAACCTATATCCCAGCTCATGACAACGTGACTACAGGGAGTTATTCAAGGCAGGATCAGGTGCCGATTTCCTATATTCCCTCTCAATTGCATGTTCAATTATCCCAAGCCAGTCTGAAATGGTTTCCACTCTTCCAGTATTGTGAATACAAGCCTGACCAACCATCTCATTCCCTTTCTGTTCAAAAGAGCCGTCTGTGTGATACAACTTTTTTACATGAGAATATAATGCAAGCGTTGCATGTAATTTCAAGGCAAGTCACAGAAATAAAGCACTTCAACTGGCCAACTGTTAAATTCATGGTTGATTCTTTTTAAAAAAAAAAAAAAAAGGTTACTGACTGCTGTGCTGTTATTCAAACATCTAAGGCATATAAATTAATTTTAGCTGCGAGGCTGATGCGTAACCATTGACATGCCTAATACACATGAACCGACCCTATTTTGTACAATGCACGTAAAGTTGTATGATACCTTGTGGGCAGGTTGCTTCTAAAATTGCAAGTTTCATGTACATGTATTTAAGTTCAACTCTTCAGTCACATCTTTTGTTTCCCTTGTCTTTTGTTGAGCTGAACAGTCCAATGTCATTAGAACCTACATGTGTGGAATATCCCATTCTTGTCAATGGAAGTACAGCCACTCTCCTATGTTTTGCAAACAAGTTGGACAAATGCCCCTCAAGAGGCTGCCTCGCACAAAGTGTACATGTAATATGGCAGACATGTTATTGGCGGGAGATGTTCAATGTGTCAGTCACAAGTGTCCTAAAATACTCACCACATGTCTGTTGCTAAGGTCAGCGGCTCATAGTTGACAACTTCCGGAGCTGTGATTATGAGAAAATCACAAATTAGGAATGAATAATCCTACACAGAAAGCTGATTGTAACGGAATCACACCCACTGTGGAAACATGTGTCATGCATGTGTCTGCATGTACACAGCAAACTCTTGCATTTTCTTCCATTATTGATATCCCAATGCACCTGTTTCGATTCTTGCAGTCATGACAGGCCTGACTTTTACCATGCTTAAGCCCCTAAAATTCTGTCTTTACTTTAAATGCCCATTTTTTCTACTTTCCCTGACCTTCTTGTACACTTTCCTGAAGCACGTTGCTCTCTGGTAATCCTACATGTATACATACATGTATTAGTATGTAAAACTCTTCCATAACCAATGGATCTTCTTTGAAACAATACATGATGTACAAAGTTTATTGCTGTCTTTGCATTTTTTTTTAGTTTTGATAGTTTTTGATGGTCTTCTGATATCTTGAAACCATCGCACCTGTATGGAAAGTACATACATGTACATTAAAGTAAAGCTCCGAGTCTATGATACCTGGCATGTGTTCTTTCCCTATCATCTTCAGTTTTACTGTAACCATCTCCCCACTACCAAAATTATTGCAGATTGGTCCCATGCTGTCAACATATCCATGTACCTCCACATTTTATTCTTGGCATTTTACAGAATCAGTCTGGGTAAGGTGATCCATGTACAGCTGGAATTCATCCATTTCCAAGTGATTGAAAAGTAAAACTGCAGGTGCACCAGAATCCCAAAACAAAATATCCATTAAGGAGAAGCAAAGAACTACGTGAGGTGCATGTAGCAAGCAGCGTCAACATAAATACTTTAACACATGTGATCTCTTTTCTGCGCAGCACACTGTAAGTTTCTATGCTTACCAATGAATTCTGGTGTTCCAACCATCTCCCTAATGTCTTTGCCATTGGCCAGCTTCCTGGACAGGCCAAAGTCGATCAGCTTGACCTCATGACTGTTCATGTTCAGTAACATGATGTTCTCCGGCTGTAAAAGGATGGTGTCACAGGGAAGAAACGTTGATCTTTGTTCCCCGTCATATAATACCAGATATGAAATGTCCACATCAATGTTAACATGCCCGAAGACATCTTGAAACGTGTCACACAAATCAAATTCCCTCTCCTGTCCGATTACTCAAGAGGACACCAAGTAACACGGTTTAAACATAACACTTTGGTTTATTTTGTATCAACCAGTGTCACTAATCAAAACTGATTCAATGTAGTTGGACATGTTGAAAATTACATGTACTGTACCGGTCCATGTACTATAATGAACTTCTGTACAGCCCACCTAAGACCAGTAAATAATACTGCAAAATAATATTTAGAAAAAATAATTTCCTTGATTTTAATGGAGCATCTTTAAGTAGTACAAGTAATAACTTTTTATCACACAATTAACATCAGTCTACTGAATTACATGTACTGTAGGGACGAGTACTGTACAGTACAATGAAAAAGAGATTTCTGACATGTATCCTCAAATTAATTTCCATACTGGCAGATCATTTAGGCATACCCTACCAGCAGGGCAGTAATGATCAGTAAACTTCCGTGCATGTCCTTCAGGTCAGCTCATATTAAACTGATGCACACTAATCCCTTTAAGGCTTGATTCAATTTCCATGCCTCCAAATGTACCATCACAAGACTGGACATCACAATTGAGGGGGCGGTCAGTGGCACTGTAACTGTTAACAGGCATTTCCTTGTCACGCGTCGTCGCACCAAATGTCACATCATGATGACTATGAACCTGCTAGGTTGGGTGGTCCACAAGTGTGGCCATACATGTACAGTGGATCCTTGAGAAGTGGATCTTGTCTGGAATACTGTCCCATAGCAAGTAAAAGACTTCCCAAAAGGAAATTGCAAGTGACATTTCTTCAGACAGGTAGACAGTGGACTAGCACTTGTCTTTGCCACCTTGCAATTATCTGCTCCATACAGGAACAAGAGGGGGTGTGTTTTGTAATGGTAGAATGATGCCCTTTAGTGGAAATACACAAAATAGACATACATGTACATACATGTACACACGTTCATGGAATTTTATGAGGCCAGTGCTGAGTATGCGCGACCAATTTCTGAACTGAGATGTAGTGTACATACACGGTCTCTGAGTGTGTGCTGCGCATCCAATTCAAATTTTTCCCGCCAGCCTGTCTCTTGATCTTTGCTAGTGAAGTCGTGCACACTCTCAAGCATAAGGAGGCAGACAATATGCAAATATGAAAATTTCTCTTCTGGTCAAAATGTTCTGAATACTGAATCTAAATCGTGCAAACATAGTGCATACAGTGTATTGACAACCGGTTCTTGATCTTTTAGATTTATTTACAAGCAAATGTGTGTTTCAGAGGGTGTGCATGTACAGTACAAGCCAAAGTTACATGTATTTTGAACTGCATACATACAGCTGTATACCATGCTATCCCAACAAGTACAATGTACATGTACATGTACCGTACATACAGTATACACGTACATGTACATGTAGGTGTACCGGTATACTACTTTAACCAACATTCCAGTGAAAAGCATCCCTCCCCACTCACTTCACATCACTGAAAACATTACATGTAAGTTGAGGGGGTTCCAAAGAAAAGTTTTTATATTTCGTACATGTACTTGGCTTTGCTTACGCTCACAGACAACAGGTATTCATGGATTTGCATGTACATGTACATGTACGTGCTTCAGATCATTTGGCTATCTGTTGATTCCCATCAATATTGATTTTCTGAGGGAGTTGTAGCACCGCTCAGCTGTTGCACTGTAGTGATGATGTCATAATTTGCACACAGGTCTGACAGTACAAATTAATTAAAGCCATGCCGATGCAGTGTAGCAAAGCTAAGGTGTGGCCCCATTTCACAGAATTTGTTACCGTTGTTGTGCACAAGTTAAAATTTCTCTATCAACAAAGTGACACTTGAGTGGACAAACCAGTGCATACATGTACATTCAAACTGCAACAGATTTAGACAGAGATTACTCATTTTTAACTCCTCTCGAAAAATAACAGTGAAACTGTTAAGTTTTATTATAAATAAGTTTAAATAAGTTTTATTTGATCTGTTTTGATTTATGAGTAATTCCAGAAATTAGGGGTCCATTTTTCCTTGTCCCTGTCACATCTGACATATGATTTTGTAAGTTCAGAACACATTTTCTAATTTCCAAGAGAGATGAATTAATGCAAAGTATCTGCCAGACAAATAGTAATAGTTTGAAATCAATTCCGGTGATATTTCCATGTTAAATAACAAAGATCGGATGTAACAGGGACACAAAAATGCCACACTTTTCGACCCCTAATTTCTGGAATTACCTCATATGTATTTCTGCTTGTGGCGAATTTGCTGTACATGGACAGCACGATTTTTATGCAGATTGAAAAATGATGGCATCCAATATCACCATCTGTTGTTGGATGGGGGCCCAATTAGTTGCGGGGATGGGGTACATGTACATCGCTATGGAGAGATCTCACTGAAGTTTGTCTTCCTTCAGCTATTGTTTCTGAAGGTGTGCCGGTGCTCAGTTAAAAGCAAATAGAGGGTTGCACTGTGGGTAATGTAAAAACATACATGTAACTTGTGGACTTATCAACTGTCTGTACCATGTGCCGGTAAGCCCCTGTGACATGCCAGAGCTTGGAAATAAGATAGGATGAGGATTTGTGGGTACACGTAGGCACAATGTATGTCAGCTGGTGGGGGAGGGAAATAGTGTACCTTCAAGTCTAGATGGCAGATCTGTCTATCATGCATGTGTTTGAGTCCATCCAGGATCTGTTTGGTAAACTTGGCTGCCACTTCCTCACTGACGTGGTCCTTCTCTGCCAGATAGTGGAACAACTCTCCACCTGTCACTCTGCACAGAGAAAAAAAAATAGGTTCAGTAAAATACCCAAATCAAGACCAAGGACGTGCCCTGAGGTTTCTGAGACTAAAAACTGCAGTGGACTTATGATTTTTACAACAAAATACCAGTACATGTACATAGTATACTTGTACTTGATGTACACATGTATTTTGGATCATATATCTAAATCAAAAGGTACCAGCACCGACTGGTATAGAGCACTGTAAAACTTGAACCTAAAGCAGTTAAAAGAGATGGTCTTATTCACCAGAGGGCCTTCCTTGAGGGCTTCATGGGTAGACAGTTCATGTACACAAAGACCCCAACATGCATAAATTTGGACTTTTGTAAACTTCACAATATCAGGTTGGTGAGTGGGGGCCCCAAAGTGGTCAAGGTTGGAATGGTTCCCCACTGGGTTTCTCCATGTGAAACCATTTTGTTTCCTTTTCACAGGCTTTGGTGGTTTCTCCACGGTTCTAGAAACGATCTGAAAGGAACTTTAGAGGGATTATTGGTTTTAGTAACAGAAATAGATGGCGTGATACACCTGCTTTTGACAATTTTTTCCAGTCAGTTTGATATTGCTATACAACATACACATGTATTGAACACGTACATGTACATGTACATGTCTATAATAATAAGAATAGCTGATTCTTACATAGCACACATACTGGCATCTATCACAACTGATGATCAGGGTGCTGTATTATCATTATCCCTGCACATTATCCCTGCACATTATCCATGCACATTGGGCTCACAACTGAACATTCCTGAAACCATCTCAGATTCCTGAAACCATCTCAGCTCCCTGAGGAGCATACATGTACATGAACTAGCTGATGCTGCCCTATCAGGCGCACACGGCTAACAACCAAATCTGCCCTCACAGGTAGACCCATTCACTCCTGGGTGGAGAGAGGCACATAAGAGTAAAGTGACTTGCCCAGGATCACAACATACTGCCACCAGCTGGATTCGAACCCCCGACCCAATGATCAGAAGCTACAAACCTTAACCACTAGGCCACATATATATTCAAGTGCTAGACTGATATACATGTACCTGTACATTGATGTACGGTAAGGGCATGTACATACAACTGTACGTACTGTATGTACATGTGCATGTACATGTACAATGTATGTGTGCATACGCGTATGCTATTATAAACTGTACACTGAAACACCTGTGTAATGTGAATTGTTACCCAGAAGTTCTGAGTACCAGGATGCATGCATACCAGTACATGTACAGGAAGGACTGGTACATGTACTTGTTGGGACACATGTACGATTGTAAGTTCTACACTTACACGTACAGTACACGTGTGCCTGTGTGAGTCTGAATGATAATCCACAGCTGTACCAGAAGAGTGCTTTGACATCGTATTGTCAAATGAAATGGGTTAGACAAATACAACCTATGTGCATATGAAATAAATTCAACAAGCACGCGATGACATGTGCACTATTTATAAATTACCCATTACACAGAGCTGTACATGTACCAGTTCACATGTGATACACCCCTACATGTACATGTACATGTACATGCTGTATACTTGGGTCAGTACATGGAGGAAGAAGCCCTCTGCAGTCGTTACTATGAACTGATTGAGCTCATTGAGGAAGGTTATATGAGTACATGTAAGTAGTATCACCCCTGTAGTTGTAAAGTCCCTTCAGAATGCAAAGTTCCGCATGGCCGCGAAAGGGAAATGCACTTTTATGAATTCAACACGAAAAAGTGAAAAAAAAAAAAAGTGGTCATGAATGGCTGGCTGCCCCTTGCAGGAAATGTGTTTCAGAAGAATGCATCTTTTCATGGGAATTGTCAGTTTGTACTTGATATATATACTAGGAATATCCTAGCTGTACGGAATAACCTTACCAGGTACCATTATCCAATTTTATGAGTATTGTACTCTTTCAAAAGGCCAAATTTCAAACACAGCTGTACATTTCTGCTACGGTACTGCATGCACATCACAACATTCATCTGAGCTGCAGGTGAAAACTAACAAAAACTACATGTAGCTTTCCAATGTACAGTAGCTGGGCCATTCTATAAATTAGGGGTCCTATTTTTTTGGTGTCCCTGTCAGTCCTAACAATGAGTTCGTAAGTTCAGAACACACTGTCTGATTTCCAAGAGTGATGAATTAATGCAGATTACCAGTCAAATTAATAGAAATAGCTTGAAATCAGTTTCATTGATACTTTAATGTTAAATTACAAAGGTCAGGTGTAATAGGGACACAAAAGTGTCACACTTTTGGACCCTGAATTTATAGAATGACCGGGCTATGACTGATCCCTTTACTTGTAATGCAGGAAGGCCTGGTCGGCATGCATAACATTGAGTAATGCCTACACTGTGCATGTATCAGGTATCAGTATTGTGAACACAAAACTCTGTCGGGATTGAATACTGATTGAATGCTTGGTTCAACATCATGACTCCCCTTATTCTAAGATCAATTTTAATTGAATTATTTTGGACTGGAGTCATCATGCCACTACGCCGATAAAGTTCAATTAATATGCTGTTAATCAAATCTCTGTTCTTGGGCCATGTCCTACAGTAATTACTTGGTTGCAGCCTGCAATTCACATCTGTGGGAAACAGCTGCAGCCTCTGCATGTGTGGGGCGTTCACTTCTCGTGGTAGCTTCCAGCAGCATGTCTTATTTTTAGCCGCAGCTTGCCAAGTAATTCGGATACCGGTTTATGGGAGAAGTACTTGTATGAGACCATGTACATATCAGTAACTTACACGATGCAAAAAATGTCCAATAAGCCAGTCCGGCATTCCAACAGCACATGCCCAGTAAAAGGCTATTCGCGAACAGTTATGCGTGCACTTGACAGTCTGTCCTATCAGCGCAGCTATACACTGACTCACATGTGCTCTTTGTTTCAAAAAGACCATGCCTGTTTGAAATAGCCAAAGTTCTTTTTGTTTGGGCACTTGTACCAGTGCCGTCTGCTACTTTTTATGTACATGTAGGGTTCCATTTGGCAAATTTAAATAGTAGCTGTAAGTTAAAACTGTGTGGAGTTCATAACTCTTTGCCCATACATGTACATGTATACAGAGTACCAAGTACACTATCAGTATATCACCAGCACAATTATAAGTGCATGGCATTAGCACGAGAACCAGCTCGCGGATGTGTTGCATTCGTTTGCACTACGCTTCTTGGTTGCACACTCTACATAATGGTGCATGTACATTTATAATGTCTCACACCTTAAATTTAGAGAAATGCGCACCATGAACATACTGTACATGTACATGTATATATTCATGTCAAGTGCTAGCAGTCAATTGATACACGTACATGTATGAGTTGTGCGAGTTGTCCCTTTAAGGATTACAAGTGTATCCAAGGGATTGATGCATTTGTCATGCACTAGCACAGTCATTTTTCATCACCACAAGGCTTGTGATCAGACAGACGCCAGACGACCACTGATGCATGCTAAGCCATGCAAACTTCAGTGATACAATTACAGATTCATTAGTATACAGCTCACTCTCCTAGCCTGGGACCACACATTTGATCCCCTGTAACTTGCCAAAAGAAAATCTCGTTAGTTGAAGGACCCTTCGCAACAAATTTGCACTCGCAAGATGATTCATACCAGTGTGTGGATTCTGAATGGGTGGGTTGGTCTTTGACACATTGAGGGGATCGTTTCTTTTGTAAGGAATATCAAAAATGAGTTGTCAAGACAAAAATTTGCCTCCATAATATTTTTGGTCCATTTGATATGTTTCAACATACAGGTGTGTACATGTACTGTCAATAGAACAGGTACGGATATGGGTGCAAAGTACGTAAATTGCTCCCAATGAGGAACATGGCATCTGCACAGGTACTAGGTCTTCACAGTGAGATGTTGAACCGTCACTCCATGGTACATGTACACTGTACACATGTAAATAAAAATGTAAAGTTCTGTTCACAAAGTACCAGGACAATGTACAAAGTCTTCAGAAAAGTTTAATAAAAGCTTTTAAGGAACAAATCATATGTTCATATGAAGTATTGTTCTTTGAATATCAACGCTACTGCTTCAAAACACTGTGTACCGTAGATGTATTGTATGGCAGTTTCACGGGCACCATAAAGTACTGACATGGTTTGTTACCAGTATGCCCTGAGTATAGCCTATGGCAACATATGTAACTACAAGTACAATGTAACTGTATGATTTACTGGTATATGAGACCATACATAAGCATAGTACATGTGTAAAGACGTACATGTACTATGCTTAAAGAGGTAGGGAAAAGGCTTCAAATATTGCAACATCTACATGTACCGGTATGGTTTTGGAGGTTGATTGGCTACCCAGAAAGCAGAATTTGTCTTCCAAAAATCAACTTGAGAGAAATAAGAGGCACTTTCTGTCCACAACCAACTGGGCCGATTTCAGGAACACATGCGGTCAAATTTTGTGTTAGTGCTGGGTTGATGACGTAATGGGGAGAAAGGCACAACAGGCATGCATGAAGCATCATGAAGGTGCTTGTTTGCCGAGTTTACAATTTTCAATGTTTTCAAGATGTATTTTCAAGATGTATTTTCAATGTGTCGAAGAAACAGAGATAAACCTGTGTCAGATTCTTCTCGTGAACGTGAGTGGATTAATTCCTACGAAAATAACTATAATTTACTCGACGATGAATGAGGAGGATGGCACGGAGCCTGCCGGTGTAGTGGGGCTGCTGTGGTAGTCCCAAAAACAAACCTGGTGGCGGTCCAGCAGCACATCAGCACCGTACACCAGCAGCTGCAACACAGCACAAGCAGTTGGCAAGGCTTATGCGGCACTCTTCTAAATACGAAGTTCTAAATTAGAAGTGCTTTTGCAGACACTGAATATTTGTTTGAAGCAGTCCTTCAAAAATCCTTGGCATATTACTGGTAGTTATCTGCGCCAACCAGGAGGGTTTAAAATCTACCGTTAACACACGTTCACCATATCTAC